CGAAGTCCTGTCTATTTTTCAAAACAAACTATTTATTATAGGTAGAGAAACGACAACCAGCAGCTAAGGTAGAAAAAAAAGTTTCGCGACGTGTTAATGGGATTGCTAGAATATTATGTCAGTGTCAATTTATTTATCTCTTCCGTGATAAACAAGTTCCAAGGTGCTGTTTGAATCGCGTGACGACAAACATTTAATGCCCACACAAAGTTGTATTACATTTAATATCGAAGTGTTTTTCTCCAAAATCTATGGGACTCATATTCACCATTCAATTTACACGTTTTCAAATTCTTTCGAACAACCATTTAATATTCTTTCAAAATTGTAGTATGGTTACTGTAATTGAAATAGATATGTGTGCTTTTCCTAAACCTTTATTTAATGAATTAAGTAAACGAATATCTCCTGAAATGCAACTACTAAGACTGTAGGGCGAAATAAAAAGTTAATTGAACTTTGGCCACAATACATATTTTTTGAGGGGTGCCTAGTGTTCGTTGATGATTCAAAAAAGAGGCTATTTACATCTTACAAAAAAACACTGTTCGAAAATAAGTCGTGGATGGTCGCTTCAAATCCATAAAACAAAGAAGTTCCGCCCCTCTCCAAAGAGGAGTTCGCCCGCAACCGCATGGTCGTAGGGAAGCGTAGTACTTTCATGAAAAAGCTACCCAGCGAGCACTGGCGGCAGGGATACGAACCTCGATCTGACTCCTGCAGCGAGTTCCACCGCCGCCCGCTAGGCAGCAGCAGCACGCGGGTTGCCTATCCTGCAGGCGCTGAATCTCGGCGGGCGCTTTCTATTGACGACGCGACGCAGCGATACGAGAACAGGGCGAGAGGACTCGGGAAGGTACACGTGGCCTGAGACGTGTTTCACCGTCACTTTTTCACGCGCTCAGCTCGGATGAAATGCTTTCGAGGAGATTAATTCCTCTCCATTTACAGTAGTTTATTATTCTCTAAATCATGACTACAATTACTGCTGGCAAAACGAATAATCGGAATTAAAGCAATTGCTAATCATCGTTTTGAAAATTCTGTCCATTGGGGGAAATTAATAAATAATAGATAGACAGCAATACAACACTCAGAATATTAAATTTGAAAAGTACCACACACACGGACATTTACATGTAAACAACAACTATAATTTTCAGCTAATCATAAAATTGATTCTCTGTGAAGAAAGTTTTAACTCGTAGCATCCTGTGAATATTTGAATTAATCTTCGTAAGGGAATAAATATCAACGCAACGTATTAGATACTAATCATCTCAAATCCCTGTTAGAAATCCAGTTATACACGTCTCAGTTTTAGCCATAAGTTAGCTTATCTGCTTATTTAGCTGATATATATATATATATATATATATATATATATATATATATTATATATATATATATATATTATATATATATATTATATAGAAATCTGAAACTGTAAACTTATCGCACACTTTGAAGCTGCATTCAAACGATAAAATACCAACCATAAAATTGTATCCAATATGAACTCATTTTGAAATACTTGAATTGGAAAATTTCAAAACGATTACGAGAAGTGTAAAAAGAACGAACCAACCACCTCATTCCTCAAGAATCTTGAATTTTTTTTAAACGTGGAAAAAATTTGTAACTGAAATCTTGTATCAAGGTATTACATTATATATTTATTTATTTACAAATGTATATTAAATAATGTAAGACAATTTGAATGGCCATTAACTGCAAATTTTCCTAGATCTTATTACAGAAAAAAAACTCTCCTAAATATCAACTCTCAAAACTCTTGTTTGTTTGAATTGAAAACGACCTATTAATTAGTGGACGTAAAATACATTGTACTGTTCAATTTCATATAAATAAATCATTATCTGTGCCAAAATTGGTTTTTTATTTCTTTTTTAAGTATTGATGCATTTTTTATGTATTAAAAGAGAAACGCTCATACGGAGTAACACCGATCGTCGCGGGAGTGTGTCTGACGAGGTCCAATACAGTGCGCGGCACAGGGCGGGACGGCGCAGTGCCAGAGAGGGAAAGGGGCGGGGCAGCTTCCCTGCGCGCGGAAGGTGAGGCAAAGCCGGCGGCAGCAGCGGTGTCCCTTCCCTCATCCCAAGCGGCCACTCAAAGGGCTTACGCATGTCGGGGCTGCTGTTTGCCAAGTGGGGTCCATCAGCTTTCCCCTCCTGCGTGGCCCTTCCTCGTCCTATCCCCCCTCCTCATCGCGCCGCCCCGCCGCCCAGGCGTTTCGCCTTCGTTGCACTTGACACCGCGTCAACACCTCGCGAGTCAAAGGCCAGGGACTCGATTAAGTATGGCACTTCAATTGGGAAGTATGATTCACAAACGGGCTATACAAAATTCGCTTCAAAGTTACCTGAAAAAACAGCAGCTTTGCTGTTTCTGTACCCAGAAATAGAGAGAATAATATGTCACCGAAAATTGCAAAGATGAATAACCCGTCAATAACATGTATCCAAACATAATTAGTACATCTTCAGCATAGGGTGTAAATAATATGGAATATCCCATCTATATTGTGGAAGACAAATCAGCGTTTCTTGCACTTTCTGGCATGTAGGTGTTCAGTTCAAAAATAATTATTTTGAATACTATTTCCTTACATTAGAATGTTAACACTAGATATTTATGAACCTAGGGTGTTAACAATGTTTTTGCCTACAGAGTGGCATCGAAACTCTAGTGCCTCTTGCTCGAGGGGCTGTAAGTTGCCCGAGGGGCAAAAGCATCAAGTACGTCCGTGGTACATACAGTGGACGGAAATATTATAGTTCACTAGTTCACTGCAAAACCAATGACAATTCAAAACATGTTTATATTTGTTGTGCATGAACAGTAAAAAGGTGCTTCGTAATCGTAAGAAATCAATAAGGCGCCACGTCAACAAAACGGAAGGCATATCTACTTACAGCAAGAGTTATTTAAAACAGCCGTGTACAATTTATAATCAACTAAGTTCGAGTTGTTGAGTTCCGATTTTACATAGTTCCCGTTAGAATTATTAATTCGAATTTATTAATATAATAATTTAATATCTTATTTTTAACCATTTATTTATTATATACTTACTTCATAAGTTTCATAAATCGAACTCAAAAATGAGTGTTATATGTAGTCGTGATCACGGGTATCACGAATTCAAAAAGTCCGCATTAAGGCCAGTAGAAGTATGCTATGTTTTGTTTATGGACAATAAATAAACAGTAATGAACAAGTAAACTTATGTAATCTACCGATTCACGACTCGATTGAATCACTAATGGAAAATGATTTTTAATAAAAATATTGATGTATTTACTTTCTCTGTTTTTCTCTCCAGTCTTTCTACCAAATTTTAAGATGAGGCAAAAACTTAATTTCAGTAACATATCTTGAATTTCCTCCTCCGAAGAATCTACGAATATAAAAACAGATTCATGAGTATCTGTTCGGTCGGAATAAGAGAGGTCGTACTCCTGGCTTTTCACTAACGCGAAATACTTTCAAATATCATCATTTAGTACTAGCACGATCGTGAGTCATTCAAGAATAATGCAGTAAGGTCATATGAAAATCCTTAAGAACGTTTCACAAACACACATTCTTCGAGAGTGTTCAAGAATGCTTCCGATTGAGAATATAAAGACTGTTTAATGAAGAACACTAATGTCGGATCGACAACCACCTTTAGCTTCAATGGCTACACCAAAATCTGCGCCAACAGGAGCCACGACTAAAAAAAAATTACACACAGCAAAGAACAATAATATACAGCTGACATTTATTATAAACTTACAACAGCAACAAAAAGCAGCCAGTGGCAGTTCGTAATTCCCCGTAAATTTTCTCTAGGGAAGTACGTAATGAAGTGTAAATTGATATGAGTTTCATTCCTGTATATTCAGTGTTACATATTATCAATTATGTTATGTATAATAAATTGCAAAATTCAAACCCCCCAGAGAAAAGGATAGAATTACATTAGCCAAATTCGCTCTTAAGACCATGTAAGCATCACCATGGCAAAATCACACAAAAGAAACGTGAATTAATCAAACATGAGAAAAGCCAATGCATGAAGGGTCATTCGCAGAAAGAAAATACTTTGGTAACAATTAAAGCATATAATCGTAAAATCTCACTGAACAAGATATGTTCCATTATACTTTTCAGTAACAAAATACATTTTATAAAAGTTACTGCTTGAGAAGAAAAAACTAAAAAAATCCTTACAGATATGAACATACTACCAAAACATCGGGGAAATTCATAAAAAATTAAATAAAAAGGAAATGCTTTGTTTTTTAGCAAATTTCATCCATAGAATAGTGAAACAAATTTCTTCTGACATTACTTGGATATTTCTTATGATAATTTTGAGTTTGTAGATGTTTTAAACTTACAAACATACTCACATTACGCTTCACAAGGAATATTACGTGTTCGTCCCAAATTCCATCAAATGATTTAAAAAGAACATGGTTAAATCAAGTAACCATATGAGAATGATATACGTTCGTTTAAATACGAGTAAAACGTATTAATACTCGTCGTAACACATTTTGGCTCCGATAAGCAGATAAAATGTATTCGATATTTAAATTTTATCGACATTTGAGGGGTTATTTTATTTCTTTCACCTGCTTAGGAATCAGTGAATTGCGTTTGATTCTAATATTCTATGTGACTGATTATACACTTAGACGAAAGATGAAAACTCACCAAAGATTTAAGTGGTTTGGCGGAATGGTTAAATAAACTTAAAATATTGAAAAGCATCGTTTAATGTAACAAACTACTTTATTGTTCAACAACTTTATCTTGCAAAATTTTTTATAAAAAAATAGTACCTTAGGCGATGTCCTAACGAACTCCGTCATTGTAGATGATAATAATATAAACTAATAATGACAATACTAATTGAACTCAATATAATACTTTTGGAAGAAATAATTTACAAAATCTTCGAATTGCACTTGTAGATTTCCAAGCTACATTTGGCAATTGTGATGAAGAGCTACATGTTCAAATTTAAACCCAACAATTCCGGAAGCACAGAATCCAAAGTGTCCTGCTGCGTCCCCCACCTGCTGCCACGGGCTGCCCTGGTCGCCCCGGTGGCCGGGACCTGGTACTCACCGAGGTCGTGGTCCACGGAGGCGGACGCCGCGGCGGCGGCGGCGGCGGGGCGGCGCGACGGAGACGTCTTGAGGCCCGGGGGAGGCTGCTTGAGCACCGCCAGCGGCACCAGCCCCTCGGGCGGCGAGTCCACCGAGCCGCTGGTGGGCACGCGCACCAGGCACCAGTCGGGCGCCGACGCCGCCACTTCCACCACCTCCACCTGCTGGCCCTTGTGCACGCTCAGCTCCTGGCTGCCGGCCGCCGCCACGTGGTCGGCGATCACCCACGTCATCTCCACGCCCGGGGCCTGCGCACACAACAATCCCTTCGTGAAACACACACACGTCTGGAGACTCAACACACGAATCCACGGGTAACAATTAGTCTTCTGCCGTGAACACTCAACATAATTTCTCTCCCTCATTCTCTTAGTCTTCTAGAAACTTCTCCTTCACTATGTAGTCAAGAAATTCAAATTCTGTTTTGATTGCAGTACGCTGCATTGGAAGGGGGAAAATAAATGGGGTGAGTAGTTGAATGTGCAGACAGAACAATTAATCAAAATATATTATCTTAATATTCGTGAAGTGGTGGATTATCTTCAGGAAATTATTTCTTGTGTTTTCACATCTTTTCATGAACATGAAGTCGTGCAACAAATACACAAAAATTAGTATTGTTACCCCCTCGTACAATTACGTAAAAAATTATCTTCCCTCTTTTGTGCACTGACATTCAAAGAAAACCAGACCTTTTGTGCCACTGACAGAATTATAAAAAATGCAATAATAAGAGTTGTATAACAAAAATAATATGTGTATCAAGGAAAGATAATATTTAATCATAAACAAGATTTAAATAATACGAAAATTTAATCAATTCACTAAACGATGATTCCAGTTATAAATTAAAACTTTTATCAATTGATGTTTCCCCAGAACCATGATAATCTGCCCATAAACGGCCGTTTACACATTATGGTTTAATACTTATTGCTTAACACGGCATTTTCTGATTCTCAACAAAGTTGTACGTGAGGTGTTACATAACCTTAAATATCTATGCACAATGTCATGAAGTGAGGTTTAAATATCCTTTGAATACTAAGTGAAACGCGATTTTTCTTTTGTACAGGCTGGATCCAACGACAAGTGGCGAAAACTCTGAGGTATCTGAAATAATTCAGTTTTCACTTACTTCCTCCCCCATCGTACACTTCAAATACAAAGCGCACCCATGCTCGTTGGTATTTCTTTAATAACACCTGTCCTTTTTTGGCATGAGATCGTGGAGATATTTACTGATAAAATGCATCTATTTATCCATTCTATAGATTCTTCTCACGTTTTTCCTACTATTCCTGTCAAAATATCCAATTGTTTTCGTGATAACAATGATTATAATGGTGTGGTTTGATAAAAAATCTGTGTCGTAACACGTGGATTTCGTAATATACGTACTGCAACCTCCACTGTTTACAGGACAAAGATTAAACAAATTGATTAAGGGAATTGGTCTTTCACTTGCATGTTGTGTTTCGAATACGATAGTGATATTATAAAAATTACTATACATTTGTAGATTGCAACACAACTTGCAGAACCTTGTTTACCCACTTTATTAAACCACGTAAGTATATCGAGTGGAATGAACAACTGTTGCATTTAAATCACGATACCAAAACAAATATAATAAATACAAATACTAGAGAATATAATATACTTTTATGAAGAACCACATCCGTGGCTCATATACTAAATAAGCTGTTAATTTATTATTGGTTTAATAAATTTTCCAATAAAACAGGAGATAACAAATCCTGAAAGGAGATAAAATATCGATACAGATAACTGTACTGATTTACGTAATTGCAGCCACAAATCACATTTCCTCTATATCTATTAAATAATTAAAACCAAATACTGTTTCCGCTTCAATTCAAAACCGATACACCAAGATACGTACTGACGATCAAACACTATTATATTCAAAGATCTAAAATTCATTATAAAAAGTTAAAATAGGTTTTATTTAATATGTGCAATCAGATACTGCCTTAGTCTGTTCAGAATACATAGTAGACACGTACGCCTCAGGAAAATATTTCCGCTTTCGATGAATGTCTGGCGGGTACGATAAGAAACCACGCATGTTTCGAAAGCCGAGATCAACGTATTTCCTCAAATATTCTTAGTTTGTTATTAAATGCCACCATTTTATACAGAACACAAAACAGGTTTTGTGAAGACACGAAGATTTACTGAGTTCCATGAAGGTATCACACAAATACACAACAATAATACTGAAAATATATTGTTTGGGATTTTAGACTCAAAATGAAATGACTGAAATCAAACATTTACCAGATTTTAAGCACTACTTTTCCTTCCAATAGTTATGAAAGAGAGATGTAAATAACATGGCCTCAGCAAAGTATTGTCCTTAATAGTTCTATTTAATTTATCACCAATTATATAGTTCCGTCTCATACCATTGTATTTGAAGTAGAACGGGAATTAGTAGTGTTACCCGAAGAAACAGCAACGAAACAACAAGGATTTGAGGCAAAAAGTCAATATTTCGTAGCTAGACAATTACCTGATTGATAAACCAGTACACAACCACTCGCATCACTGTGTTAACAACTATAATTCAGACACACTAAACCGCGTTAGAGAGCAGAAATCAGAGAGGCATGGCAATAGTCTCAAAAATGCAGGAAAGGGTTGTAGTGAAAGTGAAAGAATTTCAACACGTAAATGAGAGAAACACGTTTCCAATCTCGAGAACTAACCGAATTTCATTCCAGAAGACATAAGGTGCTGAACACTACAAATAAACTTTACATATGTTAAACTTACGATTATATACGTGGCAACAATTACCATTCCAAGAAACCTGACAAAGATCAGAAATTAAAAACGCAAAATGGTGGGTCAAGAAACCCTGGAAAGAACATTCGAAGGAGCCTTGTGCGCTGGCACAGGATAGGAGCGGCCACAGTCGCTCCCAGGACGTCCGGCGTGGGCAGGAAAGCCGGCGCGCCTGATTAAGTGTTCCGAGTGACTGTCGCATCGGACAATCAATCACCTCGAAAAAATAAAAAATAAAAATAAAAACTAAGCTGAAGAGAAAATATTTCAAGGACGTTCCGTCGCGAACACGCATGCGCTAGCTTGCGAAGCGTAAACTAGTGGTGAGAACTCGCACCGTCCACGGTAGCTCGCCAATACCATTCACACCGCCATATATGAGAAAGCATTTGGTGTCACATACAAGGACTTCTCTTTAGATATGAGGAATGATTAGAATTGCAAACAATGATACATGTGTATCAATGTATCCGGGGATCCAGAGTACAATAGTTTAAGTACAAGAAAGGAAACACTTGAAGTTGTCTTTTAACGAAGATCTTGTTCCGAGTCTTCGTGCCATCAGTCGCTTAAATCTTAGCCAAAAGATCAGGGGAAGCGAAGGAATGTCAAACACCACTTCGAGAGATATACTTGTTTATTATGGAAGTGCGTTATCTAGAATTAAACAGTCACACCCCTAGGATACTGAGGCAGATTAGATCTGTTCGCAGAACGATCTTCATGTCGTTTACCTCTCATACCTTCTGCGCCAACTTCCCGCGCCGGAAAAAGCGTAGCTCCATGGGCATGCAAAACGCAGAAAAAAAATGAATCCTCACGTCGCCAGCCACGTCCAACACACGACTCAGACGAATCAAATACGCATCTATCCGGCCTCACGCCACTTCCGAACATCTCCCGCCGCCGCGGGACTAGTGGCTGCGCAGAGGCGGAGCGCCGGCCATCTAGCGGGCGACGGATGAACTTCATCTGATCCAGTAGTTCTCCAGATCACCTCTAGAAAGCGCATGCGGCGGCGCTCGTTCACGCGGGAGACGAGAGGAGTAGCGAGGTGGCGCCCATGAAATAAAGATACCACGGCGGCGACGCAATTCAAAAATTGTGGGCAATTTTCTGCCAGGGTTATCGCAGGATCAGACACATCAGTCACGACCATAGTGGCGCTTGTTACGAACGAATTTTAGTTGATCATCAATTCGGTCAGATACGGTTCAATTGTATGGGCCATAAAAGGATACAACGAATCCCATAGACACTAATAATCGCGTCCCCAAAGGTGTAGTTCAGAGTCATAACTGGTATATAATCGAACAATCCATCGGACTATTTTTAATTTATTAATTTATTGGCGCGGTAGATCGCATATTGGCCGTAGTTGCACCGCGAAAATATCAGTATAGCTGACGTCCCCTTCACAGCATTACCCCGATGAATTTTACTGATGTGATGAATCATAAAAGGAAACTGGAGTAGGTGGTACAAAGTGAAGGGTATACAAAGAACCGAAAGGAAACATCGCGTCTAACACCATAGAGTGGGAACACAAGCACGGTGCAATGCACTTTAGTGTGAAAGCTTACCCGTTCTGGTAAGCTGATGGGACGAAATAATATTTAGGAGAGTGTCATTTTATAAAACGAAAATCAAAACATTTTTAACATTAGAAATTGATAATATGTTTTATTTACTACATTTTTCCATTAACAAAAACAATAATTTTTTGCCAAAAATTACAAATTTTTATTTGTTTGAAGTGCCTCTAGATTTAATTAATGGTTAATATGAGTTTAGTGTAGCTGAAGAAATAATTAAGATATTAATTTATATAAAATCCACTCTTTTATACCCTGAATTTGAAGCTACATTTACTCTAGGTATCTCCGCTCAGCATGACAACACAATTTTATTTGCTGATGAAGAGAAATGTATAAATGTTAATAGTGTGATGTGATTTGATGACAGTGAAATGATATACTGTTTTTCGCCATTGTTGACTGTTTATTTTTAGTTCTCCAAACGTACAATGGGGAACTATGACCCACATATCTTCCATTGAAACCGATTTGTGAATAAATCATTTTTAAAAAGACGCGGGGTAGGCAAAGGGACGTCAGAAAGATGCCGATGGCGATGGTGAAGGAGAAGTTGAGGTTGAGGGGAAAGGCGAAGGCGGACGAAGAGCCAGGGCGAGGGTGCGAACGAGGACAACGGCGGAGGCGCAACGGCCGGACGCGCTCATTCATTAGCGCGGCAATCGGCAGCTGAAAGTTGCCTTTTATGCCAGGAAGCGACGCGCGTGGCGAGAGATAACACGGCAGCCCGACCCGGCGCGGGCGGGCGCGAGTTACGCTCGGGGGCGGCAGATGCGCTTCGTGGGCGGCGGCGCGAGTGACGGGCGGGGCCCGGGCTTGAAGCTCGAAGCGCGGGTGCG